AAAATATTGATAGACGGTATACATGTTAAGAACAGATTTCTCTCTGGTATCATCTTTTGTGATTCCCCACCAGTGGTGATAACACCAAGATTCCCCATGTGCCTCAGATAAAATACTAGAATGTTTAGATTTTTAAAAAATTAAAAATGGTTGCAGTCACATCTGAAGCAGCTGTGGAAACGTATGTACATTGCAGAACAGTCTTAGCAACATCCATGTCCTGTCCTCCCTCCAGCTCTTTTCTGCTGAGCATGTTGCCTACAGTGCTCATCATCGCTTTTCTCCTGTACACCATAAGAAGAGGGCCTGCAGGCATTGGGCGAACTGGCCGGGGCATGGGTGGCCTCTTCAGTGTTGGGGAAACCACAGCCAAGGTCTTAAAGGATGAAATAGATGTGAAATTCAAAGATGTGGCTGGTTGTGAGGAAGCCAAGCTGGAGATCATGGAATTTGTAAATTTCTTGAAAAACCCAAAGCAGTATCAAGACCTAGGAGCAAAAATCCCAAAGGTAAAGTGAACCTTCAGAAGATTAACTCAGAAACCTTTTGATCTTTGTCTCTGAAGTTGACATTTTATGAAGTTTGAATATTTTAAGTAGCTACTTGTCTTAGTTTCTAACTTGAGTGTTTTGTTCTGTTTTTCTATGTATGTATGTTTGTATGTGAGTGCTCTGTTGTTGGATGGATTTTGTTTGTTCCTGAAAGAATTTGTTTTTTCACTTGACAGCCTTTCCCAATCTACTTCTCCCTCCAATCTGATTTAGACACCACACCCTCAGCAACATAGTCCCCTAGAGCTTATCACACTCTGCTGTCCCCACATATCCCCCTTCCAAAGACACCTGTGGACCATCTGCCCCAAAGGTCCTGGCTCAGGGGATGATGAGGAGAAACAACACTAATGGTCACCTTCCCTGCTGCCAGCAGATACCTGTGGCCACTGTGCCAGGGACAGCTCCTGTACCTTAGGGCTGGTCCTGACCCAGGACTAGGCACAAAATAGAAACTCTGTATTTATTGAGTATATCAACTAGCTGCTCAGTAAATGAATTTATAAAAAACGTCTAATCTGTTTATAGGGCTGGGGATGTGGCTCAAGTGGTAGCACACTCACCTAGCATGTGTAAGGCACTTGGTTCAATTCTCAGCACCACAAAAAAATAAAATAAAGACATTGTGTCCATCTAAAACTAAAAAATAAATATTTTTTTAAAAAAAATCTGGGCTGGAGTTTTGGCTCAGAGGAAGAGCACTCGCCTAACATGCATGAGGCACTGGGTTCCATCCTTAGCACCACATAAAAATAATGATAATAAAAAAAGGTATTGTGTCCACCTACAACTAAAAAAATTAGTGGTTAAAAAAAATCTGTTTATAATCCTTTAGTAAAGTTTACTTTAAAGGAATTCTTTGTACTGTGAATTGTTTCCTTGATTTTCATTTCCTATTTATATGGATAAAAAAATCATGTCTCATGATTTTATGCTTTGCTGTCACCTAACACCCATTTGTATCATATCTAGGCATCTCTACAACTTAATAGTTTTTATATTGTTTAAATAAACAGTTTTTTCTTGTTAACTTCATCATCAGTATTTTTAGTTTTTTATTTTTTATTCTACTTCTGAGTCTTTCCTTTTTCCCATTCTGGTACTGGGAATTGAATCCAGGGGTACTCTACCACATTCTCAGTCCTTATTTTGTTTCATTTATTTATATAAATACCTTTATTTTTTATTTTTACGTGGTGCTGAGGATCGAACTCAGTGCTTCACACATTGCTAGGCAAGCACTCCCACCAAGCTACAGCCCCAGCCCCTTTTTAAATGTTTGTTTGTTTGTTTTGGTGCTGAGGATTGAACCCAGGGTCTTGTGCATGGGAGGCAAGCCCTATTTTGTATTTTAATAGAGGGTCTCATTGAGTTGCTTAGCGCCTCACCATATTGTTGAGACTGGCTTTGAACTCGTGATTCCCCCTGAGCTGCTGGAATTATGGGTGTGTGCCACCACAAGAGGACACTATTTATAGCTAGTCACTTAATGGAAAATAAAATAAAAATGAATTCATACAGTTAAAATACACATTTATCTCTGCTAAAAATGTTCTGACTTATACATGTAAGGTAGAAGTCAGTGGTTGAAATTAGTTATTGTTGGGATTCAAAAGCCAATTTTACTTGTAAACAATAAAAGAATTATGTGAATTGGGAGACATAGTTTGCATTTGTCTCCTTGAATTATTTAAATAAGTCTCAGTTGGTTCATTAGTAAATTCCTTGCTGATGTCACCTTTTAAAATATACTATTAGAAGGCCTAAAAATCTAAAAGGGAAGTATTTAAGATTTTAACATATATCAGTAAGACTTAAGAGACAGAGTTATACCTTGAATAATTTCTCTTTTTTGAATCTGAAGGGTGCCATTCTCACTGGTCCTCCAGGCACGGGGAAGACACTGCTAGCTAAGGCCACTGCTGGAGAAGCCAACGTCCCCTTCATCACTGTTAGTGGATCTGAGTTTTTAGAGATGTTTGTTGGTGTGGGTCCAGCAAGAGTAAGTCTTGTTCTTTTCCTCATTTTCCTTATCCCCGTTTATTCTCCCCACATGTTGACTTGGCAAAGATGCCCCTGCCCTCAGGGTCTCCAAAGGAACCTCCCACCGGTCACTGCCTTGAGTACTATGGACAAGCTTGCAGCAAGGCCTGTGACTTCAACTCACCTTCCCAGACCAACCAGAACACAGTTTGGGCCTTAAAATGATTCTCACTTACATGCTTCAAGAAGTGGCTTTAATTTGTGGATTATTATTATTTTATAATAGCTTTATTAAGACGTAATTAACATGCTGTAAACTTCACTACCTTAAAGTCAAGTCTACAGCTAAATATCTTAGGGTACATTCAAACTTATGCAATATCACCACAATTAATTACACAACACTCATCCCCTTGAAAAGCAGCCCTAGAACCCTAGGCCCTTTGTTACCTTCTCCTCTTACCCCTCCCAGCCCTAAGCAAACACTCATCTACTTCTGTCTGTAGGTTTTCCAGTTACAGATATTTTATATAAATGGAATTGTACAGTATGTGGTCTTTTTTTGTTTCGTTTGGTTTTTTTGAACTGGGGTCTCACTGTGTAGCCCAGGCTGGGCTCAGACTCTTTTTCTGCCTCAGCCTTAGTAGCTGGAGGATACACGTGTTCACCACCATACCCAGCAGTATGTAAAGCTCTGTGTTTTACTTTGAGAGGAACCGCAGAATTTTCCAAAGTACCTGTGCCTTTCACATTCCCATCAGTAGTGTGTGAAGGTTCTTGATTCCTTCATATCCTCACTATCACTTGCTGTTACCTGACTCTGATTGTAACCACCCTAGTGAAGATGATGTGGCATCTTGTTTTGCTTTTCATCGATGATAAGAAACGTTGAACATTTTCTTTTTTGGGGTGCAGCATGAATCCAGGGCCTTATGCATGCTAGACAAGTGCTCTACCACTGAGCTATATCCCCAGCACTTTTGGTTTTATTTTGAGACAGAGTCTTGCTAAGTTGCCTAGGCCAACCTGGAACTTGCCATCCTCTTGCCTTAGCCTGGCAAGTCACTGGGATCACAGGCATGTGTCACGGTGCCTGGCTCAGTGTTGGGCATTTCTCATCTGCGTATGAGCCATTTTCAGACATTCCTCAGAGAGATGTCTATTTAGATTCTTTGCCTGTATTTTAATTTGTCCTTTTCTTATTGACCCTGGATACTACCTTCTAATAAGATATGTGACTTGCCGATATTTTCCCTATTCTATGGGTTGTCTTTTCACTCTTTTTGATAGTGAAGCACAGAAGATTTTAATTTTGATTTTGTTCATCTCTTTCTTCTTTGTGGTTCTGCCAAACTGAAGGCCATGAATGTTTACCTATTTTTTTCTTCTAATAAGTTTACAATGATGGATCTTACATTAATGGATTCACACAAGTTTATAAGGCAGATAAGTCTTAGGAAGATAGGAGAACAAGGAGGTCTGGAATGTTTATAATGAAGGGCCATGCGATCTGATGTGGATCAGGAGAAGTTGAAGGTAGGAGAGGACCTATGAGGAGTAGAAATGTGAGGCAGTGGGCTGGAGAACTAAGAAGTGAGTGAAGTGTTGGCTGGATATGACACATAGGATGTACATGGCTGGCTATTCCGAGAAGCAGAAGTGGCCAGAAAGTAGAGGCTGAGGCTGATTGTTCAGAGTGTATCTGGACAAAGCTAGCTTTGTCAGAGTGGACCAAAAGGTGCTGGAAGAGGTACTCAGGGACCTGAGAGGAACCATGTAGATGTGGAAATCACTCATCAGAGAGTGCTTGGAAGAGCATCAGACCTGCAGGAGTACCTTGGCAAGGGGACCGGGTATGCCTGCCACATGGTGTGTCACAACAAGAGTGTTTTTTTCAGCAGAATTATTTTGACAGTGGTAGTGGGGCATAAGGCAGACAGACCCCCAACTCTGACTAGGAAAGGAAGACATAGACCCCTGTACTTGAGAGTTTTGCAGGTTCTGGTTAAGGTACGGAGGTAAAGGGAAGAGCTTGAAGGCAGAGGGCCTGTTGATCACAAATATGGAGCTGGGAGCAAGGGAGGCAATGAGGGTTTGAGTTCTCAGGGGGTTTTCAGAGCCTTGTTGGAATGAAAGTCCAGAAACTCAGGCAGAAGGGATGAGAGGAAGCCTTTAGAAAGGGAAATGAGGCCCAGGGGGCTTGTCTCTTACAAGCACCAAGGACTAGTGGTGAGGCAGTGAGGTGGCTTCTCCAGTTCATAGCTTGAGGGGTCCTGCTCAGTGGGACAGTCTGGGTACAGGGGCAGACAGCAGCTGTTCTGTCATAGTGGCGCTGGGGGCAGGAGCGCTGTTGGTTGCTCTGCGCTAGTGCCTGGAACAGCTGTGGGCTTGGAACATCCTTGCCTTTACTTCCTATGTGAGCACGACCTAGACAGTCACTGCTGGAGGCATGAAGCAGGAGCCCTGAAGAAGCCTCAACTTTCCGAACATGAAGTTTACAGGTCTACTATGTTGTCTTTTAATAGGGCAAAATATCTAAT